GTGTGTACTGATAGTGTGTACTGATGGTGTGTGTGTGTGTGTGTGTGTGTCACCCCCTGCAGGTTCCCCGTATTACTACAGTTCTGCCACTCGACCGCCGCCGCCCGCCGCTGCCTATGATCATCTCTAACCCTCCACCAGACGGAGAAACACACACACACACACACACACACACACACACACACAATCACTGCAACACTATTGATGTTGAGCTGAGGCCGGGTTGGAGCACATGTTCACATCGGAGCGTTCCTCCGCAGTTGTTTCTGTTCAGCCAAAGACTCTCCTGTACCTGTTCACACGCTTCAGCAGAGCTCACCTGCCTGAGCCCATCACACACCTGGACGTCTGATAGGGGTCTTGTGCTCTGGAGATGGTCTGCTGTGTTCAGAGCTCTGATGTAAACACTAACACCATCAACATGCCTGCGGTGTGTGTGTATGTGTGTGTGTGTGCTGTCAGGGGACAGAAACACCATCATCATCATCGATGGTGAAGAGCAGGAGACGTACGCTGAGCTTCTGTTCTTGATGGAATAAGAGACGTTCAGGAGGTCTGCCTGTATCTGACGGCTGGATCAGACTGATGTTGATCAGACACTGTCGATGTTCTGGGCGATGTGTAAATACTGTAGAGAAGGCATTCCCGCATCAGAGCGAGTCTCCTTCATCTCCTGCACGAGTGTCAGAGCGGCATCATGCGGAGACTCCTTCAGCTCAAATGTTCAGGTCCTCCTTCATCATCTTCAGTTTTGGCTTCGTGTTTTATTCTCCTGTTAGTTCTGTTATTCTGATGTAAATGAAGAATTTCTACAGATTATTTTGAATTAAATAAAGCATGAGAAAGTCCAGCGTGTGTGTCCTGGTGTCTGCTGTAGTGATCAGGGCTGGGGTGATGGAGCTCTCCTGTGGTCAGTCTGTGGTGATGAAGGCGTCTCTTCTGCCGTTTCTCTGCTGAAACCCTCACCTCCAGCCTTTATTTCCCGCCAGTCAGCGGTTTACCGAAACACACGGACGGGACGGAAGCAATGATCCTGAAAACATGCGCATCTGTTTAATTTCCTCTTTTATTTTCTGCATCACCTACTTTTATTTGCAGTCATTCCTCGCCTCTCTGTGGCCTCATTATAATGGCTCTTTAACGAGGGCACGGTTCGCCGGTGCCGCGGCCCACCTGGATCCTGTGATGAACGACCGGGAACCGGGAACACGAGTGCCTGGGGCCGCGGCGGACACCGGCAGACTGCAGAACACCAAGAGTGTGTGTGTAGGCATGTATATCTGGTGTGTGCCAGTGTGTGTGTATATCTGATGTGTGCCAGTGTGTGTGTATATCTGATGTGTGCCAGTGTGTGTGTGTGTGTTTATGAGCTCTGTGGATGTTAAAAGCAGCAGGTTCAGCTGCAGTCCCTCAGTAAACCCACCTGAGCTCTGCAGGCCACTTACAGCAGATACACCAGCTGAAGCCCACTGCTGCTGTTACAGTGAGTGTGTGTGTGAGTGTGTGTGTGTGTGTGTGTGTGTGTGTGTGTGTGTGTGTGAACATGCTGAGCAGTCATAACTCATTTAAATTCAGGGTTAACTTTGATCTGTCTTGAGCTGCTCATCCTCCAGTGGCGGAGGGGTTTAGCGGTCGGGTTTAGCGGTCGGGTCTGGTGTTGGACTGTACTGGTGTGAACAGTTGTTTCCTCATCAGGTTCTGCTCTGATGTGCTTCACACACACCGCTTCATGATGAGCTCGTATGATCAGGGTGGATGGGCAGATGCATCGGGCCGGCTCTGTCAGACCAGAATCTCTGATGAACAGTGCGGCGGTCTGGAGGAGCTCCTGAACACATCTCAGCCTCTGTGTGTGTTTAAGCACTGTTAACCAGGAACAAATGTGTGTGTGTGTGTGTGTGTGTGTGTGTGTGCGCGCCTTTCATGGAGGCAAAATGACAGAAACCTCCAAAAATGTCTGCCAGCGACGCCAACTGGTCTGCTGCCCACTCCACCATCAGCAAGAGTGAGAAAGCAGAGTGTGTGTCCACAACAGCAGCGCTGATATGTCTACAGCCGCGGTGTGTGTGTGTGTGTGTGTGTGTGTTTCATTCAGTCCCGCACACAGAGTCGCAGCGGCCCCATTAGCAGGGCAGTAATGAGAGCGGCAGCACAATACGGGCAGCGGGCCGGAACACCGAGAGAACAAAGACCAGCACACGGGCTGAGTGTGTGTGTGTGTG